CTATAAGTTCTACTCTATAGTTATATAATAGAGCTCTACAGGCTTTAATTAGTAGCGCGTCTTATAGAGTTATTTCTAAAAGAGTATAAGTATCTAATTTGTCTAATAAGTAGCCTTAACGTTAGTAGTAGTACTTCTTTAGTTAGCGAGTTATACGTAGATAGTCTAGTATCTAATTATAATATAACTTAATAAAGTTAGCGTATAGTGTTCTAGGTATAAAGTGTTTTAAACGTAGTATAGTATAATAGGTATATTAAGTTAAAATTATATTACTAGTAAGATACTATATTACAGAAAGAGAGAGCTATATAGGTAGAGTTTTAAAGTTTCTTACCTAATATAGAGCTAGGTCTAATTAGGTAGAGATTATAGGTTTAATCTATAATATCTAAACGCGTATACTATAATTAACTACTATAGCTTCTAAAGAAGTATAAGAATCTTAGTAATTATCTATATAGTAAACTCTTCTATAAAGCCTGTAAGAAAGAGATTAATACACTTTATAGAGTAGGTACCTAAAAGAAGATTAAGCGCTTCTTAGTATAAGAGCGCCTACTTCTACTAAAGTAAGTATTTATATATAAGATTAATTAGAATAGTTACTTTATTAAGTGTAAAGCTTATATAGTAGTAAGAGAAGATCTATAAGTAATTAATTCTATATACTCTATATATATAGTAACACTTACCTTACACTTTTTTAGAATAGTAATAGTAATAGTAGCTAAATTTAATCTAGAGATTCTCTAATTTAATATTATAGAAGTATTTCTTTATATACACTATAAGTACTAGCTACTTATAGTATATAATATGCTAGATAGCTTTAAGAAGCCTAGTAAGTATATAAAGCTTAAGCGCGCTCTCTATAGGCTAAAGAACTTTCTACTACTTTAGTATAAAGAGCTCTTACGCATAGTAAAGAAAGTAAGTCTTATTACTTCTAAAGAAGAGCTTTATCTTTTCTTTAATAAATAAAGAAAGATTCTCTTACTTTTTTATATTAATAATATACTACTTATATATTACTACACTACTTACTAAGAAGCTTTATAAGTTACTAATGTAATAAAAGTAGTATATAACCTAGAAGAGAAAGGCCTAGTAGAATAGTTTCTAGAAGTAAGAGTATTACGTAATTATACTACTTATATTATAACACTTATATATAACAAGTATTTAGATAAGCTTACTAAGAAGTTTAACTTAGAGAGTACTTTATTAAGTTCTACTATACTACTTCTAAGTTAAGAGCTTATAAAGTTAATAGATAAAGTAGATAAGAAAGTAGTTAAAGACTACTAAGAGCGTATTAGATTACTACTCTATATAGCTATTATACTACAGTCTAATATAGTATACGCTGCTTTAAAGCTTTTGTACTTTCTTATAAATCTAAGTAAAAAGTATATTAAAGTAGTTAACTAAGTAATTATATACTTATATAAGACTTACTATTAGGCTATCTACTATAGAGCGCACTTTAGAGTAGAGCTTATAATTTATAGCAACGCTTCTTTTATAGATAATCTAGAGACTAGACGCTCTTTATAAGGCTACTTTATTATACTCTTTAAAAGTACTATTATTTAGAAAGTAGTATAATAAGTAACTATAATAACTTTAACTATAGAAGTAAAGCTTCTTATCTTTAAGTATATTAGTAAAGAAGTAATAGCTCTTAAGAGACTATTTTAAAAGCTTATACTTACCTTAGAAGTAGCGTAGATAATTTTCTATAATAACTAGTAGACTATATACTTAGTAGTTAGCACTAATAAGCGTATAATAATACGCCTTAGATATATTAATATCTAAAATATATAGCTAAGGTAAGAGTATACTAAAGAGTCTTTTAGAGTTAAGTATCTAGAGACTAAGAGTATACTAGCTAATAGGCTTACTAAAAATCTATTAGTTTAATAATTTATCTACTTTAAGAAGTAGTTAAATATAAAGAATATTAAATTATTAGTAGTATTATAAAGCTTATAAGGTATAAAAGAGTTTTTTACTACTCTTCTTAGAGAGTAGTAGAAAGTGTATTTTAAGCGTAGCCTCTCTTATAAGCCTATAGAAAACTACTTATTAAAAAAGACTTTTATTAAAGTATACGCTCTAAAGAGTGTAGTAAAATAAGAAAGCGTATACTTAGAACTATAATTAGAGTAACGCTTCTTTAGTTATCTAAGCGCAAAGTTAGAAAAGTACTACTAGTTATTAGTAGTATTCTTATAAGCTTAGAGATACTTAAACTCTAAAGTAAAGAACTAAGAGAGTATAACTTTCTTTATAAACATAAATACGTAACTAAGTTTAGTAGTAATACTTTTATAGATAACTATAATAGTATTATTAGTAATAGTCTTAAAAGACGCTTTCTTATTACTATTATTAGAGAGCGCTGCACTATTATCTATAGTCTTATTATAGTTAATCTACTTAACTACTAGATAAAGTTCTATAAAGCTTATTAGTACTAAGAAGTTAAAGTACTAGAATAAAACTTACTAGAAGAGCGCTGCTTAGAAGTAAAAGCGTTATTAGTCTTATTATTAAAATTAGATTAAGACTACTTAATACTAGAAGTATTCTTAGACTTATTAGCATTATGCTCTATTTTTAAAGTATTAAAGCTCTACTTCTTACTACGCTTCTAGATTATATAGCTATACTTAAGGTACTACTTAAAAGTAGTGTTATAGTTATAGATAAGCTTATAAAAGTAAGAGTTCTTAATATTAAGTAGATAACTAGTCTTTAGGTTCTACTCTATAGTATAAAACTAATTAACTATATACTTAGTAACTTTCTCTATATACTTAAGTCTAAAAAAGAGTTAGTAAAGCTTCTTAAGCTTAAAAAAGAGTATACGTATATATTATTATATCTATAATTACTAATAGCACTAGTAAGGTAGCGCTTAGACTTCTTACTCTTATTAATACTTACGTAGTTTTTGTAGAGAAGGTTAGTAGCTTTTCTAGTACTTATAGACTAGAAGTATTAAAGGCACACTATCTTATAGAGCTTACTAGTAGTAATAAAAATAGGCTTCTTAGAGCTGCGCTTACGTATAGACTTAGTTACTAAAGCTTTATTATTCTTATTATTAGAATCTTTATTAAGCATATACTTCTTACTATTATACTTTTTATTATTATACTTATTAGAAGAATTAGTAATATCTAAACTATTAGACTAGATAGAGAGCTCTAGATTAAAGAGAAAGCTCTTTATACTACTTATAATAATAAAAAAATACTTCTTCTTAGAAGTAGAGCTAGAGAAAGATAAAGCGTTATAAACTATACTACTTTTTTAAAAAATAGAGAGCTTATTTAAGGCTTTAGTAGAAAGCTTAGAAGCGTTAGAAGAGATAGTAATAGAATTCTTAGAAGTAGAGCTCTTAGAACTAGAAGAATCTAGAAAGAGAATATTAGAATAAGTATTACTAGTAGCTAAAGAACTAGAAACTATAATAGTAACTTTAGTAAAATGCTTATAGAAATTACTAGAAAGCTTCTAAGAAAGCGTAGTAATATTAGAATTATAGTTAGTATACTCTTTCTAGGTAGTCTTACTAGCCTACTTATTATTATACTTTTTTATTACGCTAATAAGATTAGTAGACTACTACACTTAGTAGATTACTTTCTCTAGAACTATCTCTTAATAGAGCTTAATAGCTCTTAGAAGTAGAATCTTAAAGCGTTCTTACTTAGTACGCTACTTATTAATAAAGCGCTTATTCTTAGACTTAATATACTTAGTTTTAGTAACTACCTTAGCTTTAAAATCTTTATTACTACGCTCTAAGTTACGCTTAACTTACTTATTACGCTTATAATATAGACACTACTTATTTTCTATAGCTTAACTAGTAATATAACGCTTATAAGTAATTTAGTTATAATACTCTTACTTTACTTTATTCTTAGCTTTAAGATTATAAGCATACTACTTATTAGCGTACTTCTAAGTAGCGCGCTTATTATAATATAAAATATTATTAGCTTACTTTTAAGTAACTATATTACTATACTTAGTAAATAAATTAGACTTCTTAGAAGTATAAGTTAGAGTAGTAAATAAGTTATAGGTAGAAGTAAGAGTACTTATAAAACTAGAGCTCTACTTCTTACTAAAAGAACTACGCTTAGAAGAGCTTCTAGAAATACTATAAAGCTTATTTAAGCGCTTATAATTATTTACTTTAGAGAAAGTAGCTAAGTACTTAGAGAAGTTAAAGGTATTAGAGCTTAATAGCTTAGCTTTTAACGCGCTTACGTAACTAGAACTTAAAGAAGTTATCTTAGAGGCGCTTATAAAGCTAGAACTAGACTACTTATTCTTAAAAGAGTAGCTATTCTTATACTTATACTTATTTCTCTTTAATATAATACTAGAAAGCTTAGAAATAGATATAGAAAGGTATACTTAGTTTAATTAGTATAATAAAGTATACTACTAGAGTTAGTAAGCGTACTAATAAAAATTAAAGATACTTACTTTTATTTTAAGTAAGAAGTAGAGAGCGTTTAGCTAATTAAATAATTTTTAGTAATATTATAATTAGTGTAAGTACGCTAAGTAAGCTCTTAGTACTGCGCACGCTTTAATAAGTACGTAATTAGCGTTCTTAGCTATAATAAGAAAGCTTATTATAACTATGTAGCTTACTTTTATAGGCTGCTTAAAGAGTATATTATAAAACGTACTTTTAGATACTCTTTAAGAGCATAGCATATAATTATACTAGTATAAATTAAAATAAGCTCTTAGAAGCTTTACTACTTAAGAGAGCTTTCTAAGTAAGCTTATAATATAATAATTTATCTTCTATTTATTCCTATGCTCCTAGACGCGACATTAAGTGATTGTGGGGCTCGGCGCGCTGAGCCGCCGGCTGATATTTCAACATCTTCGATCTGCGCACCAAGAACTATATACTTATCGTTTCTAGCTTCACCACGATACGAACGCCCAGCACCATGGGTGCGTATGTCTCGACCGCGAACGGAGGCTGGGTCAATCAACGTATACCGGATGACACGACCATCGAAATCTATAAGAAATACAACACTCTCATGATCAAAGCATACCGCTCCCCTACTCACCCCGAAGAGAATGCCCGATACAAGGCCCACATGTCACAGCAGCTATCTGAGCTTGAGCAACGCATGAAAGATGATGGCTCTGACCCGAGGGATATCTTCTTTGTGAACAGAATGCTTCGTGCTGGCATGTTCCGCGTGGACCTAATGTGTGTTGGTCGAACCGAATTCGGACCTAATGGAGCCCTGTTTGGCGCAACGGACGTCGGACCTCGTTGGACACAGGAAGAATGGACTCTATACCAGGAAACTTGGAAAGCCTTAATCGATTCATTCCCTGTTCAAGCGATACTTGCACAGGAGATAGATCGCGCTCTCGTTCTGTCTAAATCCAGCGGCATTGACCAACGGAAGTTCTACCAGATCAGAATGGGCGATTCGCTGATAGTAGTACCAATGCTTGGTTTGGGACTAGACACCGACGACCTCACAGTCCGCAAGGCCATCGAGGCTCTTCGTGAGTGGGATCCAGAATTCTATAGCCAAGGCGTCAAAGGACATGAAAAGGAACAACACTAAGACGAGTATGATGATGAGATGGATGTTGAAGGTAAGTTCTGACTGTACGAAGTGCAAGTGAGACATATACTGACTTGGTACCTGTACCTCTGCAGGTCAGAGGGAAGATGACGAAGAACATGCGGGGGAGGGCACAAGGGAAGATGCAAACATGACAGGAACAGAAGTGTAGGAAAATCCGATCTAGGAGATGGAACTAGTCGCTCATATGTATGATCCTGGATCGTAGTGTTATTCGTTTTCCCGCCTTCAGCTCTTAAGATTGAACTTTCCTATCCCAAATTGTTGACCACCTTGACCGTTCCGCTGCATTCTCGCTCATATTCGATGGCACTCCCGACTACGTGCAATACGTCATCAATGTCATGAAATATGATGCTGTCTGGCAGGGATCATTGGAGAGCTGCCTTCAACACCAATCCATTGCGCCGCCCACACTTGGGCCCGACAATTGTGCTGCTGGCCATAGGGGCTCCCCGCTTCACTTCTCCGAAGATTTTCCTCGAAAGCTGGCGACCATATTAGCTGGCGATTCATTCATCAGCTTTTCGGGAGTGGCCTCATCCGAGCCTATAAGCAGAGGCAGGCTTGTCAATGAGAATCGTACATGCACTACTCATGATGCCTGGATACAAAAATGGAAATTGCTGAGCCTCACTTCTTTGGACCCGGTGGAACCCTGGCCTAGCTGGGAGCATATTCAGCGTCAGTACAAGATGCCTCCACTGGTCTAACTTACGATTAGTGTGAGCTTAGGGTCAGGCTTGGTCTCTCTCAAGTTCTTGAGATGTGCGATTCTTTTGCAGTACCATCGTACGAAATTTGTCGTCCAGACGACAGGACTTAGCAGGTGGTAAGAAGTGACTAGATGAGTGTTTCTCAGTTGGATTTACATCCTGCGTCAAGATCTTGCGGACGCACAAGGGATACATGTAGGCAACAGCGCAGTTCAGGACGCTTGGGGCATGGCTATAGTATACCGGGTGGATGGTCGTGGTAGTCATCGTTTGTAGGCCGATTGTCCCACGGATATAGGTCCGCAACGGTGGAGGAATGCTGCAAAATCGCGGAACGGCTGAATTGCTGATAGTTTTGTTGTTGTTCATGTAGTTGTTCGGGCTGTCTGGATGGCTTGAGGCAGGCTACCACTGCAGGCTCACTACGTAGGTAGACTTGTTATGTCCTTAATCGAGATTGTTATCATGACTATGCGCACATGACTGCAGGGTGTCTGCTGTCGCGATGAGATACGTGTGAATCGACATTTCAAGCGATCTCGATGTAGTGGACTTGATGAACAACGCACTCAGGTAGCCGAACGGGCTGGAATAGACCTAGTAGTAGTAGTAGTAGCCGTACAGTCCAAGAAGGCGATCTCAATGTCCACGATAAGGCTTGTGCGAGCTAGATGGAGCAAACACGTGACTACATAGTGCGAATGTTTGGAGCCTTAGCGCTACGCAACAGGGTAACATCCGTGGACGTAGACACAGATCTTGCTTACGATTGTGATTGGGTGTGGGAGTCATGCGCTAGCTATGCAGCTGGGCGTCTACAGTCATCGCATTGTACCATGGTACCTTTACCACGTAATGAACCAGTATCAGCGCCTCCAACTGCAACTGCCGCCTGGCCTTTTGCTTTCGTCAAATCCTGCCTGGGGGCATTTGGCATTCTTTCGGGAGAGATCCACACTGCGCTCAGTGGTCTTGTCTAGCGTTCAGGGATAGGTAGCCCCGAGTATGTCACGTGCGATTTCATGGAGCTGAAGCCTTACGAGGACCATAAAAGCCATCGTCCGCACTTTTCTGGCTATTCAATCATCTCCAACACCCAGAATCCTGAGACGTATGCTACGAACCGTCGGACCTCCTACGAACAATTCTCAAAGAACTACAATGCTGCTCAATCGCCTTCCTCGCGAGTTACGCGACATGATATACGACTACTATACCACTGAAGATGGCGGTTATCACTTCGAACCAGAGTCCGGAAAACTACGCACCTCTTCCGGAGACAAGATTGAGCTGTCTCTCATGTACTCATGCAAGGCCACTGCAGCTGAGATGCGAGACATGCCATTCCGAAACAACGTCATTCACTTCAAGACTTCTCCGGCTGACAATCGAAGTAGTCCACATGTTCGGGACTTTAGTGCGTTGCTGGAAGACCTATATTCTGCCAAGTGGAATACGCTTTGTCGGGCCAAACCTTTCATAACCGACGCCATTGCTCGACGAGTTGTCGCACTCTTCCCACAGAGCGCAGCATTCATAGAACAGTTCAGGACAACAAAAGTGAGATTCCTAAGGGACTGCAGGCTCCGCAAATGGGGAATGTGGAGCCTAGCTCCATCCTTCCACCGCGACGCTATTGCCGTGTTGCTTTGTATGGTCGCGCAAAACTCTGCCTTCGTCAAACTCGTTTCACAAGATCTTACTGCGAATCGCCACGGACTTGCCGAAAACATTATTGTGCAAAGGATGTATTCGTTGCACCCCAAGCCATGGTTGCTTCCGTCCAGAGATGATGTCGCGGCCATGAAACGAAACATGCCTCGCGGTTGGGTACCGATGCCCCAAGAGCCGATTCGCGACTCCACAAGATATTACATCTCCGCCGCTTCGCAAGCCTCGGGATTCTTGTCGCAGTTACCATCGCATATCCGGACCGGCGTACGTCACCTTGAACTTCACGAGCTTAATGCGAGCATCGCCTATCCGGAATGTCATGTTAGAGGCTTGATACCCTATTCGATCGAGAATCCTAATCTCAAGATCCTTCGCCGTGTGGATCTCTGGAAAACCGTACTGGCGTCGCAACAGCTCCCCCGCCCTGAGTACCAGCGCTATAGTTCGGGGTTCATAAGATCCTCACTAGCAAACCTTGAAGGTAAGGACGTTAGCATGACAGTCGCTCCGTGGTTACAGGAAGCTTTAGCGCTTGAAACTGCTGGTATGCCACCCAACGTCTTCACCCTGACCTTCGAGGGTAAGGCGGACTTTATGCAACCGATCTTTGACATACTGACCGAGGATGCATCGTGGCAAGATGCACTGCAGCAATGGACGAGGCGGGATGTTGTGTCTCCATTTGTGCGTGAACGAGCCGGAACAATCGGAGAGGGTTACAAGAGGTGTGATTGCTATTTCTTCGACGAGTTCTCCGATTTGATGAAGAATGTCATCATGGGGGCAGGATCTGTGGAGTTCAAGAACTGCTATGCTCAAGCATGGAATGTTGAACAGATCATCGTTAGAAATAGCAACTGTCAGGGCGTTTGTGAATGGTGGATGCAATGGCAAGGGTTGCGACGTTTTCAGGTCATAGTCCCGCCGTTGCCCTGTACATGGGATACCATACTGAAGGAACATGTATGCGAAGAAGACATGACTGTGGAGGCTTGAGATGGGTACTCTGCCCTATGAACGAAGGTGTGACTTGGATGAGGGTTCGCCCTGCGTTGGTACCACTCGTAGCTCAATAAAAAGTTGGTTGCTCTTTTCGACAGCGGCGGATCAGTAGCTTATGAGATAGAGAGGTGTAGTCAGTATGAATGTGGCGAGTATTTCACGATAGTTTATCTAGTGACGAAGCACAGAAGTAAGTCGAACTTACAAACCATTGACACGACTGGGTCCTCTCTGAAAAGCATTCTCGTGCTTTCCAGCTTCTAGGACTGCATACACCATTGCTGTAGCATCGAGTTATGCCGTACCTGATGGAGGACCAGGAGAACCGACCAGGCATTTTGACGTGAAGTCTATTGCTCTCCCCAGACCAAGCTGTGCTAGTGATCGAGCAGTGTCATCAAATAACTTGTTGTTGTGCGAGTCGCCGAAAGGAGCGGAGCATGTGCCTGCTCACAGGTATGTGCGGCGCGCCTGTTCAATTGTCGCAGCGCTTCGCCCGACTTGCTCCGCGATTCTAGCTTTCTTCTGTCGATTACGACATGGTATGTGTAGGAGGCGGGAGGACAGCGAACGACGAACTTCGAACGGCGGATGGCGAATGGCGAATGGCAGTGATGGGCTGATACGATGCGCATCGTGTTCGTTTCCGTGGTGAGCCCCGGTGGACCTTGTCCTTCCAACTAGGGTAGGGTGTTTTGGCGATTGATAGGAGCATCTGGTGACGCCGCTTTTCGTTGAAGATTCCGAGATCTGTCCGAAGTGACCATACGCAAGGTCAAGAAGTATGACTTTGGCTACAGCAGTTGCCATCATCAGTGGCCACGAAGGGTGTGTATGATATGGACGACATCGGTAGCAATGCCCGGAGGCGCGACGGTGAAGAAACGAGGAGATACGAGTCGAAGCAGCGGGAGATAGCGGAACCCAAAGTACATTCAAAGTCATTGCAATTGGATCATCACGAGACGAGCGCGCAAACAAGAAGACATGATCGTGATGGCGCACTGAGTTGAATGGCCAGGCGCCATGGCTGAGGATGCCGGCAGCTTCGGACATCGGCGTATCGATTCGCCGAACCTCCGACTCTGCGATACCTTCCCGAGGTCGTCTCTCCGGCCCGCTCCTACACTACCTAGGTATACCATCTCATTGTGCCCGAATCTAGCATGACGCTAACATATCTGTTCCTTGATTAATCTCAACCAACTGGAAATAGCTAAAAGCGGTATTTTGATGTGTTATATTTCGTTCTAAAAGGAAAGCCAGTTTCGCGCTCTTACAACATCAGTCAGATCGCTTTCAGCCGATACTGTCCTGAAAACCCTGTCAATATCCTCTGATGTTGGAGGCGTGTATCGTTGATTGCCATTTCGCCAGTAGTGCATCTATCGACAACCATGCGACTATTGTCTCCATCGAACCAAACCCTCCCTTATATTCCTGCATATCCGACGTCTTCACCAAAAAAGACTTGAGATGTCCAGAGAGTCTTGGAAAGGGTCTTCCGTTTTCTGTCTTAGATCGGGCGCGTCGACAGTGTCGGACGCCTGAGGACGCCTGAACCCAGCTTTTGCATCATATATACGCACGCAGATGCCTCTATCGCGGAATGTGTCGAAGACAGGATCGCGGCGCTTATGGAACCATGAAGCAAGTCGACCATGTCCTGGAACACATTCAAGCGCAAGAACCCGCAGCGCATTGAAGTGGCTCAGAACAAGGGAGAGTTTGTGGAGCCATGCGATGGCCATACCATCAGGGCAGATGATAGTCAAACTCTCGATCGTTAAGGGCAATAGATGTCGAAGATCACCTCCAGGATGCGGTCTGCTACGAAACTTTCTGTCTATGAGAAATTCCTGTGGCACCTCAAGGTTACGCAGGTTCCCGAAGCCAGAGAGAGTAGTAACGGGTCTCATACTCGAAAGGTACCGTGCTAATGTTTCCCAGTCGCAATAGACTAGGCGGATATCTATGCGCAGGCTCTCAATTTCTGTCGAAGCGGCCGCCAGGTGCGAGACCAGGGTCTGGAAATATCGCCTAGCTCCACAGTAGTAACCTCTTCCAAAAGTGAGACGAAAGTCGACATGCTTCAGTGTATTTCGTCGACCGTTAAGGCTTCCATCGATGTGAAGCCATCGTATAATATGTGGGGTGACGAAGTGAACTGATGACGGCTCTAGTTCGCAGCAATCGAGCTGGATAGTTAGATCTTCAATGCCGTTCTTCGAAGCTATCGGTGTGGTGACATGGTTCAACCAGCCTGACCCTAGATCGCGGATACCGTTGCTCATGAGATCTAGTTTCAACGCCCTCAAGTTTGGGAGGTAGAAGAATCGGAGGAGATTGAAATGTGTAAAGGGAATGCAGAGGTGTGTCAAATGCTGGAGCCCGCCTCGTAAACCACACAGATCAGTCCGGGTGAATAGATCGTGTCTGATTCCATATAACACCCGAAGAAGGTCGTTACGGAAAGAGAATCGTGATCCGTTGATAGGGTCTGTGACACGGATTGAAAGCCTTTCAAGCTTCGGTAGCAGGTGTAATATGATCGCTGCGAAAGCCGACCGCTGCCCGCGCGCGAGATTACTAGTGAGATGTCCCGCTCCCTCGGCCGGGACGGCCATCTGCATGATCTGTGCGGCGCAATTCCCAACAAACTCTGGTTCATCTTGTATCTTGTCTTCCTCGGCAGCACAGAGATTGCCGTTCCGTGTATCCCAAAGACATTCGAATATCTTGACATGCCGTGTAAGATCATCGTGTGTAAGCAGTGTTCGCACAAAGGTATGAAACTTCTTTGGATTGATATACAAAGCCACTCCAGTGTAAAGAGTGCTCGTAGCAACTTCTTTCCATCTGCGCGAGACTAGGCAGAGTCGGGCGAGCGTTTGAGATTGGCCCTTGAGATGCTCGGTTATCTGGAGCAGAAGTTCATTGGGAAGGTCGTTGAGGAGCGTCATGATGTTGACTGTTGTAGCAATTATCGACAGTGCACTTAAGCCTCAGTTGAGAGTTTTGGTCGGTGATGGTCGCGCCAGGTTGAGGTTCAGCTGTAGTGGGAGTCGGAGTAGCGCAGAAGGTATAGTGTAGAGGCTTAGAAAAGCATTGGCTGACTGGGCCAACGTCTGTGCATCATACACACTAGGGCACTGAGGTAACCCAAAGTCTAGCAAAGAGCTTACCTAGGTACACACACTTTGCCACGCCGCTAGGCAGGCGTTGGAGAAGCCTCAGTTGCATTGGTCATGGAGTGATTCAATCTTTTTCAGCTTGAACTGAGACAATTGTGTTCCCGGCCCATGTCAGTACTCGAGTTCTTCGACATTCCCTTGACGTTGTCAAGATCATAGATACGAAAAGCCTCGCTGTCTCCCGTCGACGGGGGCAACTCCACCGTTAGAAGGCGCCCTCTGGCCTCTGCTCGGCCAGATAGGCGAAGCATGTGATTTGCGTGCAAGAAACGGCAAGGATGGAACGAGGATGTTTGTTGAGGAGATCTGGCACGGACGTTGTTGGCAGGACCGAGCCGCGTGGAAGCAGGCACCAGCGTCATGCCTCGGTATATTTGAGCAAGAGCGCTAAACTTCCATCCAGCAAATAAGAATAGGGGCTTAGACGGGGAAGTTACGATGTGGAGCTAGCTATCATCATTGTGTACATGGCATATTAGTGATAAAGGCACTTGTTTGGACTTCTCGACCCATAATTGACCCAGGAGCATTCGTTGTGGTTTTGGTTGGCAGATCTATAGATTGCAAGACAATGTATACTTCAAGGCTCACCATAATGCCTGCCGTCCGTTTCCCATATGCTCCAGTCCATCACTCTTGCCACGTCGAAGCTGCAGCTACGCCCATAGCCTCGCTGTCGGTCCACTAATACTGTATATCCTTGCGTTCCGCCAGGCTCATGTGTTGAAAGTTCCTCAGATCCGGCAGCTTGACATTAGTGCGTTCCGAGACGGCCTTACGCAACACCTTGTACACGCGCCCAGTCCCTGGCCACTGCGAAATGTGTGGGATTGTTGCACCGGCCTTGATGAGGACTTCCGCAATATAGCCATCGTTCCTATTCATAGCGACGTCGAGGGGCGTGATAGTGTCTTTGTGAAGTGTCGGGATGTTTGAACGTACGGCGAGGTCCACATTAACACCTGCCTGGATGCAGCCCTGTACAGCGGCAACGCGACCGGATCGAACAGCGATGAAGATGGGAGCGTTCAACGCTGTTCCCTTGTCCACATCTTCAACCCGCTTGAGGGCTTCCTGAACATCTTCAGAGCTGCCTCCGGCGCATATGGAGAGCATCGTTTCGCGCAAGACACGTCTCCTGCCCTCAGGGTGGAAATCCAAGACGGCCGTTAGATTGTGCAAATATTTGGTCGTACTCGCATGAACAGCGCGAGAGACCCAATAGTTGTAGGCGTGCCTCGTGGGGGAGCGTAGATTCTTCTTGTGGTAGTCGAGCAGAGTTTGAGCGATTGTACCGCTGTCGGTAGCCAGCGCGATGCTGATAGTGCTATGTATGGGAAACATGGCGTCCTCAGATGTAAGAGCAGCTTGCACTGATGACGACCGTGTTTCGAGATAACGGACAATAACGTCAATCGACTCCGTGTCACCTAGATCTCGTGCGATCCGGAAAGGTTCCACATCAAAGAGCGCATCTTTCTCCATACCACTGAGTTCTGTGAGAACACTAGCAAGAACATCATGCGCTCCGACCATTAGAGATGTGTAAAGCCTATCTTGGACAGATAACTCGGTACTGTTCTGGTTCTGGGTGACGTAATGGCAGGAGGGACCGCAATCGCACCACAAGGCGTGACTCAATTTGGACGCGTCGACGATCTTGCCTAAGCTCAGATAGAATCGTTCGATGATACCTGTGCGTTGCTTCTCATCTTCTATGTCAAGCTCTTGCAGAATGTAGTTGGTCATGCGCTGTAGTCGTCCATGGAAGTCTTCGTTGATGTTCCCCGGTATGCGCTTTACTTGCATCATGTAACGAGGCAGACGCTTGAGTGCAAGACGTTGAACGGAGTATACGTTAAAGTAGATCTCTTTTGGCTGCTGGGAGAAGACGTTACGCTCGATCTCTGCAGCGAAGGTACGGCAAACATCTCGCAGTCTCCAGACACTATCGATCTCAAAGCGCCGGGAAAGACCTTTGACGTTGTTGATCGCGCTTTTGACTAGCTCGTGAGTGATCATCTGGAAGATCTCAACAGGAAGATCGAGGAGGTTGGTCATCGTGGCTGCCGTGGGCGGGGGAGTTTGTCAGAGGTTGACGCCTAGATGATGGTGCTGAGTCGGCGATGGATCCGGAGATGGGAGTCGCAGCTTCGGAAGGAAAACGGACAAGATCAATGGAGGGCGAGTGACTTTATTTGAGCAGGAGCCATGCGTGAGTGTCGCCTGCGCAGGTGGACCAGCGGACATTAGCGCGTAAACACGGGACCTGAGCAAGAGCGAGCTTGCACCTCATACAGAAAAATTGAACAGGTCTGCAGACTACATTGAGCTAAAAACTTGCAATGTAGGTAACCTAACGCCAACGTAGGCTCTAGGGAGTTGACTTTTTTTCTAGGTTGGCGTGCTTGAGCGAGATACCCCAAGAAATCACGTCGCATGCGAAGGTGATGTGAAACATTCCATACGCGTTGCTGGGGGTGCATCCATGGATGTCTCTCATCGTCGGTCTTGCTCACACCCGCGCGGAAGTCTCGCGTTTCATTACATTACATGATATATGCAATTCGCTTTTACCTACCCCTGACCTCTCTGGGGCTCTCGAGATATGAGGATGCGAGAGACTGATGTGCGATGGACGTGTTGCGTCGCGGTTGTTCTTTCTAAGTGCATAGGCCATGGCCGCCCGACAATTATCGGCGTGTGTAGCCGACGGGAAAGAAGCGCCCGTCATGCCAATTCACGAATTTAATTGATGGATGACATGCAGCAGGGCGATGGACATAGATGCGACGTGATGAGATGAGTGTTGGTGGTGTAGCAAGCGCGGCGCGTCGCGTCACTTCGGTGACTTTTGCAGATGACGTAATACAAGGGCACGTGCACATCATTCATACCCCAACATTTTCATGAATATACACTTGTCGTCTACAAAGCCAAAACTTTGTTCTTTAGATACACATCTTCACCAATCCCAAAAGAATACATGGTGAAAGCCGCGGACCATATCAGCAAATGTCTTCCGCGCGAGCCCGCCAATCCCATCAACCACTAAAGCCACCCCAGTTCGTGATCCTCCGAGAATACGATCTGATCAGTTACCAGTTCCAGGATATACCCTCTTCCCCGCCACCTTATCAGCCCACTTCACCTCGAGCAAAGTGAAATTCTTCTTGCCCTGACTAACCTTCTTCCGGTACGACACGCCAGCAGCCGCCCACCGCGCAGCCTCATCTGCCTCGCGTTGCTTCTTACGGACCTTCTCCGCCGCCTTCCAAGCTTCGTGTTGTGCATTATGAGCAGCGAACTGCTGCCGTCCAGCCTCTCGTTTCTGGTACTCAGCGTTACGAGCATCAGTCTCTGTGATGTTGGTGAGAAAGCGGTCGATGGTTTCGGAGAAACGGGGATTAGTCGTAAGGTACTTCTGCTTGAATCCTTCGGGGTCGGGGAAAGTTCCATCGTTGAGCTTTGTCGCCATGGTGTACGCCATCTGCTTGAACAGCTTGTTCCCAGTTGGATTGTTGGCAGCGGTGATGATGTTGATGACGTCTGTGGGAGGGACTTTGGTATTGATGCGACTAAAGAAGTGGTTGAAGATGCCTTGGGTGAAGGAGCCGATACCCAATGCATCTGCGGCGCAGCAAAGATGCAGGTCTTTGAAGGTATCCTCAACATCCTTCATGGGTTGTCCTTTAAAGTCTCTCACCACATACTTCTGGAACTGGAACACCTTCGGCGCGGTTGGTAGTGCTAGTACCAGAGAGACCAGGTAGTTCAGAGCTTTGATATCGATGCCCTCTGGAACTGCAATCTTGCCATCAACGACTAGTTCGTGCTTCTCTGAGACGGCCTCGAAGAGAGCGATCGGTAACTCGGTGGCGTTGTTTCCGGACATTATAGCGTTACCTAGGTGATCCACAAGCTGAGCCTTGTTGCTCATGACCAGATTTTGGCGTTGGATAGGTCCGAGGGTACGGAAGTGCTCGAGACCACCGGGGACCTTCTGATCGTTGAGAGAATCGCTTGAAGTAGGCGCGGGGGCTACCATGTTGTCGTACATCTTGATATGAGTCGTCGCGTGTCTCTGTAGCCGTCAGAATCGGTCGAGAAGTAAAACGGTTATTGGACCTTACACACAAGTGGTGTTCTAGGTGTGTTGTAGAAGGTTATCGTGGTTGGATTCTATGGCGGGTATTCTCAACTGTAGACCTGAAAACTGAGTTATAAGATACTTTCGTCGATAAAGAGATATAAGAGTAGCGGGGCTAGAGAATGTATACAGAGAAGGGAGGCACTAAGTAGTCTTGGCAGTGAATGACAGTGACAGCGGACCTCGCCCAATTGATCACACTTCTGCCTAGTAGAGCTCGCCAAGACGTGTTTTACTGCGTCGTGAGCCACTAATAATCACGGGGTAGGTCAGGGGACGTACCCAAGTGGCAGACAGGAAGTAAAGGAAAGGCCGATAGTCGGAGTTCAACTTAACAGATGGACACATGTACGGTAAAAGCTGTTTGTATGATGACTCGACATGACGAAGACATGCACACAATTCCCTAGAGTTACACATGAGTTGGGAGAGCTAAGCATAACCTGCTTACTAAGTATGTTATCACGCATCAAGCCATCCTCGCACGATATGCTGATGCAAGTGTGTTGCTCCTCGAGTAACCGCGTAAGTCTCTCAATTCCCTCTTCTTTTGGCGATCAGAAAATCGTGTTACTCGCATCTCTCTGATTCTGTGTGAACAAATCGTCCTTGACTAGACGCCACGAGGTTCAAGATGCAATCCAGACAGCAACCTAGGTACATTGAATAGTATCACAGATAAGCTAAGGCACTCAATTTACATAGGGACAGATCGCTCGCTAAGTGTCTTGTTGCACAGAAAGAGGTCGAGAGCCATGCCCTTGAGGTCCATGGGTGTACACAAACCTCGGATCAAGTTGTTTGGCTGCAATCTTTTCGCACCGAGGCTCTTAGACCTTTGTCGAAACTCATCGACCTTTCTTATACGCTCGCGATAGTCCTTGGTCGGATAGTTTGTTTCGAGAGTGAGCTCGCCTGGGTAACAAGCACCTTACACAACGAATATATCTGTCCCCATATCCTGCAACGTGCTTTAGGAGAGTGACCGCCTAATTTAGAGTACGCCCAGTAATTGTGAAAATGTTTGCCGATCTTGAGACGACTAGCAAAAGTGCAGAAGATGTGACAAACAGCCCATCTTCTCGCAAAAGGAGGCGCTTGTCAGAAGCTACCATCCAGCCATCTGAGCAAGTCAATCCCTGCACTCTCTCGAAAATGCATCAAGCTATCGAGACCGACGACTTCATCAGGAGCTATCCCACCACCGCAAAGTCGTCGCTGGAGCGCGGAACATGTATGCTAGAAGAGCTGATCACGCAAGTTCACGGATCTAACATCGCGCAAGCCCGGAAGAGAAGATTCATCACAGAGTCTCAAAGCTACATCGACATGATCAAGCCCGGAGAAGACGTTATGCCCATCTCAGCAAAAGAGTATGAGCTGCGCATCCAGCAGTCAACTCCGAACTGGGAGAACAACCTCATAATATGCACCTCAACAGAAGCACGCGACTTACTCCAGCGCTTGACCCTCCAGATTCCCCTCCTCATCCCCTCCGAGCTGAACAATAGCCCCACGCCCCGCACGCTCTACTCCGCCGAACACTATGAAGCTGTCCTTAAATTCCGCAAACACGCCTCAGCCGAGCCCTACATGGACGTCCAAGACCTCACATCCAAAAACATAACCCGCCGGCTCACCATCTCCACCGCCCTAAAACGCATGTCCGACCCAACCGCCCTCCCAATAAACCTCCTCGACATCCGACCCGTACGTCGAAACGTATTACCCTGGGAGCTCGACAATCTCACCGACTACAGCATTCTCTCCGAAGCGACGGAATACGGTGGCATGTCCAACCACTCGGACCCGAACCCCAGCGATCTCTCTAGTAAAACTGGTTTCGCGCTCTGGGGCAAACGAGGCGTATGGTCTTTCCCTCACGTTGACGAACATGGCTTGTACACCGGCGTGTTGTGTGAGACTGGCTCGAAACTATGGTTTACGTGGTCGCTTTCTCCCTCTGAACGCGAGGAATGGGCTGTATCGCGACAAGCAGGTCTTCAGTATGCGCCCAACAAACCCGGCTTCCCTATTTACCTCAAAAAAGGGGATTTACTAATCATGCCACCAGGGATGGTGCACGCGCCGCTGAGTCTGGAGGATGTGATTATGCATGGGTTTCATGTGTGGTGTAGCAAGACGATGGTGGAGACGGCGAGGAGTGCGTTGTTGGATTTGAGGTTTCCGATGTGTACGAATGAGGAGCCTAGGAGGGAGTTGAGGGGGAAGTTGATGCACTTGGTTAGGGCGAGTAAGGCGAGGTTGGGGCCTTATACGTGGGGTGATCATGGGGAGTTTGCGGAGTTGGTGGGAAGGATTTTGGTGGTGTTGGAGGGGTTGGAGAGGAAGGAGCGACTGTCGTGATGGAGTTTTGGTTGGGGTGCTAGCGCGTACGAGTTGAAAGTAATCATTGCCTAGTTCTGCCGCAAGACTGACTGCCTGCTATGAGATGGACTGTAGTATCCGGCGTCGTCACTGTGATGCTTGCAGTTGAGGTTATGGTAGCCGCACAGACCACTCACCCATGACCGCGGGACCGACGAGGGCAATCTGGGGCAAGCGAGGATGCACTGAGTTGTGCGACATGCCTCTCTGCGCCGACTATTGGCAGGGCGGAGCGGAAGCCAGCAGCGGGACAACGGGGGAAGTGCATGGCGAGACGGCGTGCGCTATCAGGTGACGTGACGCTCACCAAGGAGAGCTGTCTTTGGTTTTTCGGGGCAATGGCTCAGGCTTAAGAGTTTGACATGTCGCGTCACTTTCGCCGAGGACACGCCTTTGCTCTTGAGACATCGTGCATCCGACGTCGTGCATTGCATGCGACAGCTCATCCATCGCTCCGTCCCGCCATGCCCGCTGCGCCGCCTGCTTGGTCATAATGCCGCCCGCCAACTCGCCTGTAAGCACCCGCCGTTCAGATGTTGCCGTCCACATGTTGTCACATAGCCGTGGTCTAAGTGCATGACTGACGTAGCCGCTCAATAGGACGACGCGGAACCCACCTTCATCTCGGCCCTGCGCGAGCTCGAGAGCCCCGTAAACGACGACGTGCTCAACCTCGCCGCCACGCTGGGCACCCCGACGGACGAAGCAGGCATTCCCAGCGACGACGACATCGAACGCGCCCACGTCGACTATCTCCGCGCAGCACGTGAGCGCGACCAGGCGCGGTTGGACCGGTCCCAGGAGCGATTGCGCCTGCTGGAAAGGCAGCGAGACGAGCTGGAGCAGCGGGACCGCCTGCGCCGCGTGATGAGTCGCCTCTCCCGCCTCAGCGACAACAACTACGGCGACCGCGTGCCCAGTCAGAACAGCCTGTATGACTGGTCGCCGGCCACAGAGGCCCCGGGCGCGCCCGAGAGCTCGCTGAGGTCGACGGCCATCCTCCAGTCGGCAGGCGTGCGCCGCCATCCACGCTTCTCAGCGCGCACCAGGGAAGCCGCCACCAGCAGCGAAGCACCGCCACGCCACGCTTCACACCGCAGCCTCAGAGACATGCTTGCCGCCCGATCCAGCCTCTTCCCCGAGACCGTCCAGCGAGAACGCCGCCAGATGTCTTCGCACCGGGACTCCGAGGCCCGCACGTCGCCCATGCTGGAGCAGACCGTCAAGTACCTGTCGCGCATACGCCACTCGCGCGACGACGACGAGAGCTGGGAACGTGCGCGAGACGCCGGTTTCCTGACCAAGGACTTCTTCCTGCAGCACGCAGACTTCGTCGCCAACACCCTCGCCATACCGCCGCCCACCGAGACATCGTGGCTGGCACCGGGCGCGATACTCTCGGGCTGTCAGCATGCGACGACCATGCCCGCTGCCGCGACTACCACATACAGCCGGCACACGGGACTCCCACCGCCCATCCGACCGTGGATATGGAATCCCAGCGAAGTCTCCACCAGCCGGAGCTCGCAGCCCGACGCACAACCTCACCAAGACCGGTGGCCCGTCAAGGTCACGATACATGACGTGGACTGGGAGCAGATGTCTCTCTCCGCAACCATGGAAGCGTATAACGTACCTTCCCACCCGCATCCGCACACCATGTTTTCTCCCAGCAGTGTTACGCCGTCCGTCACGCGCACCTCCTCCATTACGACCTACCTCGAAGGCGAAATCCTCGACTTCAACAACTATACCCTCCTCACCGAATCCTTTAAATCAAACGCCGCAAACGACGCAACATACTGGCGCAAACTGCCTCCATTCCAGAAGATGAGCGACGAAGACGTAGTCAGAGCCCTCACGAGCAAGAAGTGGCTCACAGAAGTCCTGGGTCAGAACTGGATACTCATGCGCTGGAAAGAGCGATGTTTTGTAAAGAGCCTGAACCGCAGCACCCCTGACCCCGTTCAGCCCCCGCCCTCCACCACGATACCCTCCTCCTTCTCCGCCGACCCTCCACCGTCCAATCCCTGGGCCTCGACAGGTTCCTCCAACTATGCACCCGCAGCTCCTACCTCCACGCACACCTCGCAACTCCAGCCCTCGCCCTACCGCATAGTCCGCAACGCGCAAACTGGCCGTGCCGAAGTCGAAATCACACCACAACCCCTCTTCAACTCCGTAACGAACGACGCCGAACAAGCGACATTCGACGACTCAGGCTGCGGGCTTACCATCAGCGGGTTCTACTACGTGGCGCTTGACCGGAGAAGCGGGATGCTGGAAGGGTTGTATTATGATCCGCAGAGCAGTCCGTATCAGTGTCTGAAGTTGGAGAGTGTCAACGGTGGACTGAGAACGGCGTGGAGTTTCAGATGATAGACTGGAGAATGAGTCAAGGAGAGCGGAAGAAGAATTGCATGGAACGGAGTTTTGGAATTGGACTTTTGGACTGCATCGCCCATTGAGGCTCTCCCGGATTGGATTGGGACTAGGTTTTACTTTGACTACATGTTGTACTCTGTCTAGTATCATAGATGGATATGGAATACTATCGCCTCATACTTGCAGCTCTGATTCGTATACAGGCCGTGGATAACCCGGAGTATCCGCAGCCAACGTTCCGCGGTATGTACAATGTTGTGAGGCTACTCACAATTCTAGACGCCCTACACGCCTGACCGTGTACGCGAGGTATGGTAGTCGCGCAGTGTAAACGCCATCCACCAATGATTACTCACACGATTACGGCCCCGCTTCCGCATCCAGCAAGTCCTGCCGGGTGCCGTCATCCTTCCAGACACTTTGGACGTGTACAATGGCTTGCCTGATGAGCGTCGTGCGTCTGTGCATATATGTGTGTTGAAAGAGTCATGAGTTAGGAGTCACAGAAAGCTTAGAGCGAAAGGTACAAAGCTTGATTGAACCTCGCATAGGATTGCACTCCAGTTCAACTTCAGACTTCAGCATCGCTCTTTCTCCGGCAGTCTTTCCTACCTGTCTAAACGGAGTCACTCCAAGGATCCAGCAGAAGACATTACACAATGGCATCACCAGAATACCCCAAAACCACCGTCAACAAACTCGGTCGATTGGCGAATCGGGGTACGTTCATCTCCTTCGCACTCTTGCGTACTTGAAATCACATACTCACATCAATAAACCCAGGCACATACGACTACGCAACAATCCACAGCCTAATAAACGCCTGTCCAATCCTTCACGTCTCCTTCGTCGACCCAGAACACCCTTTCCCCGTCGTCTTGCCCATGTTGGGATGTACGGGTAACTACGAGGTACGTCACTTCCTTCCCTGCCACCATCTACCATCCACCATCCACCGTCCACCGTCCTACAACAGCAAAAGCATGAAAACATCAATATACTAACCCAACCGCACAGAACCAATCCGCAGACCCCTCAACTACCCCCCAATCCCTCTACATCCACGGCTACGTCTCCGGCCGCATCTTCAAATCCTCAAAAGAAACCTCCACCCCCGGTCTCCCCATCACCATCGCCGCCAGTTTCCTCGACGGCCTCGTCCTCTCCCTAACCCCCTTCCACAACTCCTGCAACTACCGCTCCGCCATCGTCTACGGCTACGCCGAACTCGTCGAAGACGCCGACGAAGCGCTGTACGCCATGAAAGCCATCACTGATAATATGTTGCCTCAGCGCTGGGAGAAGAGTAGGGTGCCCCCGAGTAGTGCGGAGTTGAAGAGTACGAGTATTCTTCGGGTCAGGATTGAAAGTGTAGGTTGCTTCCTCTTTGTCTCTCTATTCCTCCATCTCTTTGCAAGGAGATCGGTATTGTTTCTTGTTACGGTCCCTCTTCAGTGCTAATATATTTCCGTGGCAACAGGCAAGCGCAAAGATACGAACTGGTGGGCCGAGTGAGGATAGGAATGATCTCAAGGATAAGGAGTTGGTGAAGAAGACGTGGACGGGTGTTGTGCCGTATTGGGGGACTTGGGGGGAGCCGGTGCCTGGAGAGGAGAATGGGTGTGAGGAGGTCGAGGGGTATATTGAGAGTTGGAGGATGAGGGAGACGGCAGAGGCGAGGGGGTATGCTTTTGAGGCTATTGGTAAGGGTAAATGAGTGTTAAACAAGGGCATGTGAGCATGGGTTGACGGGCGATCATGGGCGGTTTCTTGCGTCCGTCTCATCAGGGTAATTCTAACAAGGCAATCGGTATATTTCTCCTTACGTTTTAGTAGTTTGAACAATACCTCATACATGCGATCTCCTAGCAGGCCCATGATACTCATCCCACTCAACCCCCGCCTCATCTTTCTTCCCAACCACCTTCCGCCCCCAATCCCATTCTCCATACCCAGCTGCTACCATTCTGCGCGAAAAGCGCTCATGTCTCTCATACATCACCCTTCTTTGAGAAAGGGTCCTGTATTTCTCATTCGCCCTTTTGATCGCCTTGTCGAAAACGGGAGTCAACTGGATCTGGAAGACTTCCACGTTGGAGGCTGTTTCATTCCAGACGCGTGAAGCAAGGCTATTTATCATGATGCGGAAGAGGCGGGAGAAGTGCGGTGTTGTTGTCGCATATGAAGTAATGGCGTCGATAGTCGCCCAAGAGGGTAGGGACGTTTTCAAGAGGTCTTCACACTGGGCGTATAGATCATCGACGTATTTGTCCATTCCGAGGGCCGAGGCCGCAGCACATACGTCCAGAGATATTGTCAGGGGTAGACAAAGGACGAATGGCGGGAGCATGCCCGGATTCGCAATGATGTCCTCGAGGTATTTGATGAGTCTAGACACTGCATCCGCATCAACGGCTGCGAGTAGTATGGTCGTGTCGTTCACAAGGAGTTCGCCGGTCTTTGTCGAAGTCGCTCGAAACAGTGGTTTCGAGATTGTTGTAATGAGCTCGGCGTCGATGAAGACTTTGATACGGTTGTCCTCGGACTCGAGTTTCTTGCGGTCTGTGAAGTACCAGTCTCGGATGTCAATGTCTTTGGCGGTGATCGGGTCGGGGGTCTGAGCGGTATCTCCGGCGGCCTTCTTGTTCTTTGTGGTCTTTGCGTCAGGAAAGATCATATCCCAGACATCATCGTCTACGCGGACGTTGGGGCTGGCGGAACGGAGTAGTGATGAAGACATTGTTGCTTGTGCCTTTTCTTTGAGTCAATCCCTATATCGATCTAGAGGGGGTATTGAAATGAGAAACCGGGCTTAGTGGGTGCTTAAAGTCCGCGACGAAGCACACCTACCCAGGTATTCGTTCTAGGCTAGAGCTAGGATGGCGAACATGACGGTGCAAGAAGAGCTACAAACGGATCGCGACTAGCAGGAGGAAGCGAAGGCTGCAACTCCGTGTCTTGGCACACACAAAAAGTGAATGGATGAAGTTGCAGTCGACGCCTAGGTTAGGTGGCCGGACTTTGATGACGAGGGTGGAAGAGGAAAGCTACAGGTTGACTTGTCTCTTCCGTCTCTACAACAGGAAAGCTTTTGAAGCCTTCGCGCTCCGGCTTTGTAATATGTGCCTTATCCCGTTCACCTTTTGTAGTCTCTACAGGCTAACGTATGTAATCTTTTGCCGGCAAACACCACGTCGCCTGCTCCAACGGAAGGACCAGTCACTTCTCGTCTACCGCCCCCTGATGCGGCGGAATCGGCTTCAGCCCCTTGACATGATCCAGAACACCCATGTTATTCGCGAATCGATTATCCTCCGGTCCCATAATCGCCGTATTCTCTGGATTCAGGAACTGATGCGGAAACCCCATTTCGAAGCCATAAGCCGCATCAATCTGCCGGATCTCCTCTGCCGTAAGACTCAGACCAAGAGCCTGGATATTACCCTCGAGATGCGAAATTTTGCGACCGCCGACGATAGGGAAGACGTAGGGTGACTTGTGCATGACGTATGCGAGAGCGACGGAAGTGATGGGCGGAACTGGAGACTTTGCGTTTGCGACATCCTCGAGCACGTTGCTGACCTTTTCTTCGTTGCCGATGACCATTATTTTCATCTTCCTGCCGCCGTCTTCTGGGTTCTGTCTCTGCGCCCTTGTCTTGAAGCTTCCTCCGCCGATGGCGCCCCAAGGTGCTAAAGCCATACCTTCGTCGAGTGCCATTGGGATGATTTCGCGCTCGAAAGAACGATCGGCGGCGGACCAGCGGCCTTGGTAGATTGAGAATTGGCGGAGCCCATGTTGGCGCGCATAGCAGTTGGCTTTTACTACGATCCAGGCTGGGGTATCGGAGATGCCTAGGTAGAGTACTCGACGGGAGGGGACGAGGTCGTTGAGTGCGTTCATGAGTTCTGGTATAGAGGCTGTTGAGTCCCACAGGTGGACGTAGTACTATGAGGCAGTCAATCACAACAGTCGTAGCGGGATACAGAGCTCGGATAAGGAACTCACGATATCGATGTAGCTAGTCCTGAGCGCCTTCAGTGAACGCTCAATACCTGTATGCATGTTCTTCGCGCTATTACCTCCATAGTTACTCTTGCATCTCGTACCACCTCCTTTCTCTCTCTCGGTGATCTGCATACCAGTGAACTTGGTCGCAAGTACCATCTCATCTCTGACTCCTCGCTCTTCCATCCATTCCCCGATCCACTCTTCGCTCTCGCCAAACTGATAGTTGACGGCGGTGTCAATAAAGTTGCCGCCTTGCTTGTAGAAGTAATCCAGCATTGCAAAGGCTGTTTCTTTGGTGCATTCTCCGAGAGTGGCCTTCCATGCTTCACCGAAATTCATGCCACCGAGGCACAGAGGCGAGACCCGGACGGCTGCCGTGGGACTGAGAATACGATGTCTACCTAGGAGAGAGACGGGTGTGGCTGGATTGATGAATGACATTGTAGGAGTGTACCTAGGTAGCAAAAAGCTGGGAGTCTAATTCGTAAGAGCTGCACAGCGATGATATAATTTCTTGTCCTGTTGTAAGCTTCATGCACGTAGCATCCAATGCACCAACTCTTCTTATATGGCTGCCAGCTTTTGCAGCAGTGGCCTCATAGTCGTTCCGCTGCATGCCTTATCGCCGCGAGTGCCATACCGAAGTGATTGGCTGTGTACATAAACGTAGCAAGGCGTAACGCATGCCGTACAAGTAGGTGCGACCGAAACGATACTTGCTGATATCCAATGGCGTTGCAATCAAGCAACGGGCGAGAACCTCGTATGGTCTGACATGCGCCACCACTTGGGCAAAGCCGGTAGTCCCGCAATCTCCGAAGCGTCAGACCGAAGTGAACTACGCCCACCCGAACGACCTTCAGTAGCTGAGCAACTACTTTCTGCATTGATCGCGTCGTAATTGATGTTGTGGAGTTTGCATCTGGACCCCTAAATCGCATGGCCATGTTAGCTCACCGCTAGTGCACCCGAATCGTCATGGCCGCAGTTCCCCAGAATGCTGACATCATGGCTCCACCACATCATGCGCGCGCATCGCACAGTCGCCGCGTCCATCGGAGATGTGGTACCTGCATCTCAGGGTCATCAGCACCATGTCGTCGCCATTGATGCAGAGATTTGCGGTGCACGGGCAGACCGACAAGTTGCAAATGCGCATTGCAATCCATCTTTCCCCATAGTAAACGTAACGTTGAGCGCACACCTCAGACGATATCAATTTCGCATTACATCAGTACTCCATCACACTACATATTCAGCGTGTACACCTCACATAGTTGCACCTTCCAGTTCATCATCTCATCGACATATAAACAAGCAGCAACAATGGCTTCCAGCATCCTCCGCATCAACCGCAACGTTTTCCTCGCAGCACGACCAGCAGCTCGCATTACATCGCAAAGAGCGCCGCTCAAGAACAACATCAACGATCTCAGCAACCACCGCGCTTTCACAACAACACGCATCATGTCTGTCCAGGTCGACTCCAACTTCATCTCGCAGATCACCGCTGCCGAGAAGAAGATCACGGGCAAGGACGAGCCACACAAGGGCGGTCCTACCGCGAAAGCTCAGCAGCACGTTGGCCAGAACCTCACTGCACAAGTCATCCACGACATCACCGAGGGCGAGAAGGTGCTCACTGGCTCCGACGAAGTCATGAAAGGAGGTCCTACATCGATCGCTCAGTCTGCTCTCACAGCCGGCTCAGCTCCGTCCAACAATAACAACACTGGCGCCAACACTTCCAACGCATCAGGAAAGCTAGACTCGTCGACACTGAGCAAGATCACCGATGCAGAGAAGAAGCTTACGGGCGAGGACGGTCCCGTACCTGGAGGTCCTACTGCGCAGGCGCAGAGTCATGCCAAGGAGCCCATCACCAGCGAGGCGCTGCACGATATCACTGAGGGAGAGAAGAAGGTTACTGGTGGCGAGCGTGTCAAGGGCGGTCCTACGTCGACTGCTCAGTCTGAGCTCGCGAAGAGCAGGTCATGAGCGTTCTAGCTGCACGACGCCCTACCGTTGCGCGAGTCTTCCTGTTACGATTACCTCGACACGCCGTGTATAATACTGTATGATATTGCATAAGGAAGATGAAGAGGGGATTAATGACTACTATGAGATATGATTGTATCATATATGAAAGCATCTAGGCTGTTATAAACACAGGCTTATTCAAATAACATTACGTCTATTTTTGACTATGTTTTTCGAGTGCTTGTTAGATCTTCATCGTATGCGACGATAGCACAGTCAAGCAGAACTGAAGGGTAAAGTATCATCATTCGACGTAACGTACGCGCTATCCAACGTACAAGAGGCCCATCAAAGGTCACAAAGTGCTCACATCACACCCATCCCTCCCTCTCCCTATCATCCTTAACTCCACTCCCCTTCAACCACCCAACCCCCACATTCGCTACACCCTTCCACTTCTCCACGCTCTTCTTCTTGCTGAACCGATACTGCCGATCACTAGTTCTCTCCAACCTCTCCTTCAATGGCCCATCACCCGATGCACCCAGCCCCCCAAGTTCGATGTCTTCTCGAACCTCTGCTTCGCGGAATCCAAAAGCCGATGCAGCGCCTCGTCTCGATCGCGTAGAGTTGACTTTGTGTAAGGTGGGTGGTCGCGATCCAATCGTTTCATTCGATCTTACACGACGCAGACGGTCCTGGAGATCTGCTGCTTCGCCGTCGCCTAGGATTCTGCCTTTGCGGTTGGAGGGCGGGGTGCGGTAGTCGAAGTTGGAGTTTGCGCGGCGGAGACCATATTTGCGGGGGCTTTGCTCGAGAGCTTGGCCGAGCTCTTGGATGGCTTCGTCGCGTGCGCGCATGCGTTCCAAGGATTGCATGCGCGGTGCTGCAAAAGCGCGGCCTTGGACGGATTGGGATGGGCGGCGGCCCAGGCGCGGTGGAGAATGGCGGGCTGTGCGCTTTTCTTCTATGGCCATGGCGACTTGGGCGACGGAGTTGGGGACCACGTCGAGAGAGTTCTGAGGGTGTGGTTATTAGTGGATGCGGAGGAGGATGATAGTGCAACGCACCATGTGGATGAGAACGATTGGTAGTTGAACGGTGACGAGCTTTCTGCAGGGAGTCAGCTTGATCAGTGATAGTGACGACAAGACTGACGTGTGCCCGCTGGCTACAATGACATTCAAGAAGTATCTGACTTCAAAGTATTTGCCTGTCTTGGTTAGGGACCGAGTACACGACTTCGCGCCAATGTACATACCACACTTTACCGTACCGTGGCCACGGGGTATTTCGAGATTACAGGTCCTGATATGAGTCTGTTGTGCAGAAACACCGTTCCAGCCGGCACAACCATGCTTGACGACTGCTTTACTGAGGATAGACCGCTCGTTGCTGTCAAAGATGCGAGCCTGACCCGCAGACTTCTCCATCGTAGCCGCAGCAACCTACAACGCACTCTTATTAGCATCATGACAAGAAAGTATGTCAAGCTCGCATAACAAACGTGTTTGTAGCAGAGTATGTCCCTCTCCAACTGAAGCTCAATCTTTTTGACTAGCTTGCGACTGTTGTTGGCGACATGAACATCGACGTAGAGACTGGTTCCGCTGACCCAAACTTGTCGATGTAGGCCTGCAGTGACGCGGACGACTTCGACGGTGGTTTCTCGGGGCTTTATCCACTCGTCTGAGGCAGTCAGTGGACTAGGTAGCGACATGAGTGCCTTTTCAGCTGCGAGCATGTCAG